ATGGTTCTTTATTATTGCGAATAAAGAGATGCGGTCTGATACATTCTCAGGTGGCATTTGAAGAACCGAGACATCAACCAACAAACCCACCTATAATTATTCAGAAATCGTGAGATGCGGTCTAGTATGATGTAGGTTTCAGAAAAACATTTTCTTTATCGTGCCAACGTTTCGATCTTTATTGAGATCATCTTCAGGGCCTGGGATTTACAAACATTCTTTACATATAACAATTACATTTTGGATGTGGAAAAGTGAATTTATACAATGCAAAATATATTTTTATATATTCAATCAAAGTATTTCTACTCACTCAAAGTGTTTGTATTCTGTGTAATTGTGCCATTCTTGCGTGTCGTGTCGAGANTAAACGTTTCGATCTTTATTGAGATCATCTTCAGGGCTCAAAGTGTTTGTCTTCTGTGTAATTGTGCCATTCTTGCGTGTCGTGTTGAGAATGCCAAGAGAGAAAAAAAAACCACCTATTTTCAAATGTGTTGATACGTTGAATGAGATGTATTAAGTGTCTCCGCGATGTGCAGTTCAGGGTTCATTGTGACGAAAGCTTGAATTTGGTCATCATCAACCAGAGCGCTTTGGTCTTACAAATCAAAATTTCTCCTTCCGAACCGAGCAAACCACTCATTGAGTTGTTAACATTGAGTCACAGCGTTTTCCCCATAATTTTCCTCTATGAACACCGAGGATTTTTCATCTCCATCAATAAAAACAAAATTCGTTAACTTTACGTCTTAGGAGGAATATATTGACAATCTACCAGATGTTTTCAGATAATGTGAAACGAATTAAGCGTCTCTGGAATATCTCTCAGTCAGTATTCTGTTCATTCAATTAGATAAATTAAAAAAAAAGGCTGGATACAATAAGGGCCACATTCTGTACACATTTATAGTAGATAGGTATTGGTCTGCGAGTCGGTGTAGATGTTGAACCGGAACAGGTTCACTTAATGGGTGTATTTCCACTCGCGGGTTTTTGCGTTATTCAAAAGCGTTTCGGCATTGCGCCATCGTCAGTGAGGAACTTCCCAGGAAGACCCTGTGCCGGTTCAACATTTTTATACTAACAATAATACTACTCAAGTAAGTAATAACTGATTACTCAATGAAACAATAGTAAAATAAATGACTTTTATTAATAATTTTTGTTATGCAGCATGGGATTTTTTAACGAATTATTGTCCTTTTTATATTTATAATTTGTAAGGTAAAAACAACTTTTCCATGTTTTTATATATATCCTGCTTTATTTTTTCAAAAAACGTTTTTTGACTTTTGGGAATTTACACCCGTCAACAGCATCTTATTTTTTTAAAATAAAGAAATGAAATTTTTCATTATACATATATAGTTTTTTTTAAAGATATATGACCATTTTGCATCGACAGGCCGCATGGCAAAGATGGAAATTTTGATTTAAAAAAATAAGATGCTATGTTTTTATATATAAAAATAATGATACATTAAAATTTAAAAAAAAACTTTTAATATTTTTTAACGTGATTTGTAATAAATTTCCTATTGTATTATTACATTAAATATTTTGGCCGCTCTGGAATAAACGCCCATCATCAGCATCTTATTTTTTAAATCAAAATTTCCATCTTTGCCACGCGGCCTGTCGATGCAAAATGGTCATACATCTTTAAAAAAAATTATATGCGTATAATGAAAAATTTCAATTCTTTATTTAAAAAAATAAGATGCTGTTAACGGGTGTAAATTCTCAAAAGTCAAAAAAATGATGGGCTTTATTCCAGAAGCGGCCCAAATATTTAATGGAATAATACAATAGGAAATTTATTAAAAATCACGTTAAAAAATATTAAAAAGTTTGTTTTTTAAATTTTAATGTATCTCATTATTTTTATATATAAAAACATACCCTGAAAGTTTGGTTGGACGGAATAAGCCCATAATAAAGCATCCCCTTTTAATCACACCAAATGTACCTAATCTCGGGATGTAAGTCGGCCTTTGGAGTTGTTAACCGTGAGTCGCTGCGTTTTAATTATGGCGAAGAAGAGGATCTGTTTATTTGAGCGCTTTAAAACTTGTTCAGACGGTGACCGTTATTGGATCGAGTCATGACTGTATGTGCTCATTAATGAACCATTTTTTTAATAGTTAGCTGGATGAAAAATCCATGACAATATTCAGAGACGAAAATCCTGAGAAAAACCCACCGATTCACTGTTAACAATTCTAAAAGAAGGATTTCATCCTAAGAAAGTGGGATTGATAATAGGTGCTTTATTATGAACTTATTTCATCCTACCAAAGTTTCAAGACCTGTTTTTGCTTCTAAAAATAATTAAATATATATTATGCTGAGATATTATTGTTTAATTGAGTAATCGGTAATAACATAATCGTTAGGAGTACATAAGCTCGAAAACTTGTACAAACTGTGACCCTTACTAGATCCAGACTTGATTGCTGTCCATCAGTTTATATTATGTTTTTTTTTTATCTCTAACTACTTGATTGATTGTCTAGGTTGAGCTTATATTAACGTTTTTACATTATTTCCAATGGCAAGATTATCTAAGCTAACATGTTTTAATGTACGTCTGTATTATTGTTGCGATCTTGTCCTTCTGGGTTTTGAGTCAAATTTACATTTATTTTTATACATTTGTCTAATTTATGATGAGAAAGTGGATCCATATGCTTCCGCGCTCTAAAATTGTTCAGCGATCCTTATTTTACATGACGGTATGTCTATCTGGTTATGCTTAGTCGGACAAACATTCTCTCTTGACATATGTCTATACTCTCACCTATCTGAATGGCAGGTTTTGCCTGTAATATAAAGTCAGTAATTGTCCAAAAACTATCGGCACTGGCTAATCGCAGGGGGATTGTTTTCAGGCGCACTAGTAAACGTTGGTACTTGTCTGAGAAGTTCTACCCCACCCAGTATACGCCTGGCATCGGCTCTTTAGATTAGGGCTTAGAAAAACTCTATTAACGGAAAATTTACCTTATTCGAGATGGCAACAGGTGGTGAAACAATATATAGTTCATTTAATTTGTTTACAATTACCTGAAATTTTCTTTGAATTTTATCATTAAACGAACGCACGACAACAATATTTAAAATCAAAAGGGGAATATCCTTTTTAAAAAGATAGTTCCTACTCACAGTAAGTTGTTTTGCAACGATCCGGATTTCGATCCTTTTAGCTCATCATCAGGTTGAAGGACTTCTACAACCACGTCTCTCGACATGAATTGCCAAAGTGAACCCGCTGATACCTCCGCCAACGCGACGTTCCAATTAGCAGCTGATTTTTTTAATGGCGCTCAATTTGAACGTGCGAAACGCGGAAATTATAACACAAATAAATATTATACTAGTAAATACTTAATATTATTAAATTACTATAAAAATAATAACAATTAAAATAATTAGTTTAATTATTTGGATGTTTGATATTATTTATGTACATATTTAAAATGGGAGGTAGATCAAAATCTGTTATATTATTAATGCATTTATCACCATGTTCAATTTTACATTTTTTAATTTCAAATTTCTCAAACCAATCTAGTTCTTTCCCTTTGTTGAAACTATGTAACACTCTTGTATTTAAATTTGAATTGAAATTATGTTTTGTTTCTTTTAGATGGTCCTTAAATTCCGAAAATTTGCTCGATTTAGGCAAGTGCCTTAGTTCTGGGTACGAATCCCGGCACCCACGAATTTTTTATTGTGAACGTTATAAAAAAAAGCACAGTAGTCCTTGTCCATAAAGCGTTAAGCCAATCCAAAAATCATGTTTAACTTCCCATCTTCCTTGGTCCTTTGCTCAATAGTTTTCATATCCTTAACCGTCTTCTTCAAGGTTTTTAGGTAAAAGTGAAGACGTGAGTATAAGAAATGCAGTTTGACCCTTTGTCCTGCAGTTGGAAATATTATTCTCTCTGACTTTAAGCTCATCCAAGCGAATTTTTCAATGACCTTCATTGGTTCACCAAACTCTAGATCCTATATACCAGCAGAAATTTTCTCATTATTCGTGAGATACAGAAAATACTGCCTTCTGCTAAATCCTTGAGAAATTTATCAGTTCCAGTTTGATGTGCAAAGTGATCTTGTTATTTGTTGAAGCAAGTCTACGTTAATATTAAGATATAGATTGTGTTCGACGTCTAACAGGTGGACCGCGAGGTCGAAGTAGACTTTAAACCTTTGATCGTCGGCTAATCCGGCTTTTTGCTTAGTTTCTATTGTGATATTTCTTTATTATGCTTACGTACTGTTTTTGGCTGTCTTTCTAAAAATGTTGGGCCAAATAATGACTGAATTGTCTGACTTGGATGGTCTATATTACTGCTTGAGTTTTCGGTGTTTTTTCTTCCCAGTGCGCCCTGTATGTTGACTTAGTTTGATTTTATACGACACGACGTTAAGCCAATCCAGCACTAGTCCGACCACCGTGTTTAACTTTCCAACTTCCTTGGTCCTTTGGTCAATAGTTTTCATATCCTTAACTGTCATCTCCAAGATTTTTTTATTGGAAAGAAGACGTGAGTGTTAGAAGTGCACTTTGACCCTTGTGCTGCAGTTGGAATTATTATTCTCTCTGACTTTAAGCTCATCCAAGCGAGTTTTTCTATGTCTTTCATTGTTTCACCAAACTCTAGACCATATAAAAATACCTGGGGCAAAAGTAACAAAAAAGAAATTGTATATTGACCAAAAACCCAGCCAGATAAGAACAGAATATTTCTAGACGGTATGAAGAAGAAAAGAATGTAGATATGTGTCAAAACAGAATGTTGGCCAGACAGACAGGCTGACTGGCATAGAATAGAAATTGTGCTGATGGTCGAAGGGCCGACTCGTGGAAACCCTCGCCCAGACGAATCGGAGGCCGACGAATGTATTCAAAATGTATTTGTATCCTTCGAGTTTTTCACGTGGAGGGGGGCAGGACGGCCGTGTCTAGACGGCCCTATCGATTTGATACCGAAGGCTGGAGAGGGGATCTCAACCGCTTCAGTTTACAGCAATGTCTCGGCCGATTCGCTCCTCGGAGGCTTAACGAACGAGCACAGCGCACAAAATGTGAGTAGACGCCTTGTTTTTTGACCGTAGACGCGAGACCCGGCGGACCCGGGACACCTGCATCGCCCTCCGACCTTAACCCTCGCCTAGGGTGCGGGTTCACACTTTTCCATCGCTCTGACAGAAAAAACCGTTTCAACCCGGTTATTAACAATTTTTATAAATCAAAACCTCACACGTCTTTTATGTGTTTTTTTTAAATACAGAAATCTTTCAAATCTATCGACTTTTGTTTTATAGTGTCTTTTTTTTTAAATATAATAAATGCAGTTCGTATCCCAAGGTCAATCAATTGACAAGAATCACATCAATATTTACTGTATTTTACACAATTCTGAACCAGAAAAGATTTTATCTTTTTCATCCCTTATTCGTCTTATTACTTAAAAAGACTTAAATTTTCTGTTAAAGTATATAAAAAATTAAACAGACCTGGTTTCAAAGTAGCACTTAACAAAAAACCTAGCAGAGATTTTGATCTTTTTTGGGGGTATAATCGATTTTATTTTTGTTTGTGTAAAGTTCGGCCAAATGTACACATTGTTATATATCGAAAATGTATCGAGAGGGTTAAATTTAAAAGAAGAAAAAAAAGGCAAGAAAATTCAGCTCGTGTGAAATTACGTGTCACAAGTTATATAAACGCTATAACAATCTGTGATAAATGGGAGCGGGAATGTAATAGCCGCTGATGCTCGGCGCGGTATCTCGAAACGCATCTGTTTTACTTTTTTTAATTTAATCTCTGTGACTGACTTTGTTCGGACGAAGTTCGAAAGTTTGGGGGACTTGATTTGCGGCGCGGCGCGTCCTAAGCGCGTTCGCTCACTTCGGACGGTGTCTCGGCGATCTTGACAACCCGGAACCACGTGGGCGGTTCTTAAACCCCGGGCTGACATAAATTCATCCAACTACATAAAACAACATACCAACCAATCAAAAAGAGCACAAAAAACTTTCAATCCTTAAAGAAACCTTCAATATAAAAATTATTTTCATTATAATATGTTTAATATAAAATTTTAATTTAAATTAATCTTCTTTTGTTATTTTATTTTTATATTGGGAGGGCTTAAAAATTTAGTATAATCACTTTTTTTTATTATAATGTCACTAAGGCTTTCCCTTCGTACGCTTTTTCACCGTGGGTCTGGAAAATGCCCCTCCCCCATAATTTTTCTTTTAACCCGTTGGACATGCGCCCTTTTTAGCCCCTTTTTCGCCAACCCCCTTTTTTTACTCTCCTGGTTTTTTCCGCGTGTTTTTCCCCTTTTTCGCCCGCCCTCGCCGCCGTCCACGTCCCAAGACTTCGATCCCGGATTTTTCAACCCTTTCAATTCCACCGTGGGAATCGCTGTGTGTTTTACGAATCGGGCGCCTATTTAAATTAATCTGATATTTAGTTATTGATGGTTTATTTGATTGATTTGGAGAGAGAAAGAGAGAGAGAGAGAGAGAGAGAGAGAGAGAGAGAGAGAGTGATAGAAGAGCGAGAAGATGAGTGAGAGGATAAGACAAAATAAATAGAGATGGAATGAGGGAAATAGTGACAGGAGGGAGTGAGCGAGAGAGAACGATTACAGAAAGAGTTGAAGAGAGTGAGAGTGCAAACGAGAAATAATAAGATAAAGGTAGGTAGATAGATAGATAGATAGAGATAAATAGATAAACAGATAGATAGGTAGACAGATAAATAGATAGATAGAGATAGATAGATAGAGAGAGAGAGAAGAGAGAGAGAGAGAGAGAGAGAGAGAGAGAGAGAAAGAGAGAGAGACAGAGAGAGAGAAGGACGAGAAGATAAGTGAAAGGGTAAGACAGAAATAAAAGGGACTGAGTGAGGGAAATAGTGAGAGGAGAGTGAGCGAGAGTGAGATGGTGCGAGAGAAGGAGAGAGAGAGAGAGAGAGAACGATTAGAGAAAGAGTTTAAGAGAGTGAGAATGCAAACGAGAAATAATAAGATAAGAATAGATTAAAAATTAAATAATTAAATAAATTATTTAATTTAGTTATTATTAATTAAATTAAATAATAAGAATAGATAAAATAGAAAAGGAGAAAGGGAAGAAAAATAGAGGAGAGGAAGGAGATATTATTTACATTGAATTTTACATATATATTTATGTCAATGCAAAAGAGTGTTTCACACTACATAAAAGTAAACTAAATAATCTCTCTTCCTGAAATCAGTGTTTCCACCAGTATTAACCAAACGTGGCATGGAAGGAAAACAGGGTTACCTTTTTTTACACTACAAATTCTGAGGGAAAAATAGATTTGATAGATAAATAGAGTGTGAGAGAGAAATAGATAGATCGATTATATTGTTCGATAATAATCATGTTTATCTGCCTTTTCAGTTGATTCTAAATGATAATGAAAGATTGAAAGTAAATAACCTCACATCCCGGAATCAGTGTTGCCATCAGTGTTACCCAAACCATGGATGGAGGGAAAAACAGTTTTAATTTTTTTATATCATGTATCTTTTATATATATATCAGCCTATCAATGAGAAAAAGAGATCTTGATAGATAGATAGAGGGGTGAGAAGGAAAAGAGAATGAGAGCGTGAGAGAGAGACTGATAAAGAAAGAGAGTAAGACTGATTGATTAAGTTTTAACTTATAGTCGCAAAAAGAAAGAGAGAGTAATAGAAACAGACAGACAGAGAGGTCTATAAACAAAGATAGAAGGAATAAAGAGGGACAAGAAATGAGAGAAAGTGAGATGGTGTAAGCAAAGAAGTGAGAGAGAGATTGAATGGGAAGTGAAAAACAAGAGGAGCTGGTTTGAGCAGGAGAAACACATTCATAAAAGAAAAAACTAGCATAAGTAATGCAATGTAATATTTGCAATAAAATAAGTACACCAAATAATAACAAAGTTTATCTTTTGTGGGATTAAGGTCAAAAGAAAAATATCACTACGAAAATAAATACAATTCTCCAGAATATAAAAATTGTTATTTTTACTTTATTTTGAAAATCGACTAATAATGTAATATTGGAATAATATTGTAACAGGACGGTAAAACTAAAATAAATACGTTCCATCTTAAAATAAGTCTCGAAGAGGGAAAAAGGGAAAATTCTCTATTCCACAGAAGGGGAGAAAACAATTTTCCGACTCCCCCTCCGCAGAACCACCCGTCATAGCGCAGGGAGGAAAAAACCCCAAAGGAAAATCGAAAGGCCGTGGGGTGAAAAATTAGAATAGTGTTTTTCCAAGTCCCTCTCGACGAGAGCGAGTCCCTCTCCCCGATGTTAAATTTCCACTGGGTCCATTTTTCTCTCTATATCTCTCTTTTTTTACCCCACTCGCTCTTTTTTCCCGGCGGGTTGAAAATTTGTTTTTCATTTGCTTATAAAACCGATGGTGCGCCAAGAAAAACAAGGGCGTTTTTACCAATTTTCCCCACTCTTGCTGGAAAATAAAAAAAACTGGATCCACTTGGATTTGGTTTTTAATCGAAACAAAACAAGTTAAATAGAAAAATAACAGGAGAACCTTAACGATAAGAAAACAATAAAATACTAAAGAAAAGAAAACTTACATTTTTGGATTTTGTAGAGTTATAACACAAGTAAATAACACATAAAATATTCAGGCAATTTCGTATTTTCTGTTATGATTAGACAAATCCTAAGTAAAATAAATAGGCTTTTAAGTTGATATTTCATGTAAATAACATTTTGACTGAAATACAACCAACAAACACTATACCAAACATAAATACAGTATTCTAAATAAATCTACTCAGAATACATAAAAAAAAGTACATTGTGTATATATTGAAAATATAAATATAACATGACTAATGTTTAAACGATCTTTGCAGATATATTATTAATTTTGTTTAGGTTATAATAACCTATTTGTTTATATTATCCGATAGTCAATTTACAGTATATTTGATTAATTAGAATTAATTAGAAAAATACTGTTTAGGAGTTATTTTATTATAACTACATTTTGTTATAACTGACATTTATTTTACACTAAAAAATCTGTTCAGTGCACTCTGTAAAATTTCAACAGATTAAACTAAATAGCATAGTTCAATAAGCGGGTTCATCAGTGAGTCAACAGCGTTGCCCAAACATAAGATGGAGGGAAAAAAACAACATTTTTTACCTATACTTAAGTTTCTCTGTGCCTTTTTTTACAAATCCGTGCGTGAGCTTGTTTTTTTCCTGAGAAAGAGAGGGAGAAAGAGAGAGAGAGAGAGAGAGAGAAAGAGAGAGAGAGAGAGAGAGAGAGAGAGAGAAAGAGAGTAGGCGAAGTGATTTTGCCATTTTTGAAAGATAGAGAGAGAGAAGAAAAGAGAGGATTAAGACGTTAGAATATATAATTTATATATATATTTAGACCACGAAAAACACCAATGACTGAAACTAAATAAGTTTTTGTATTTTGTTTTCTTCGTTTTTTTGCTTTTTGTAAGTTGTAAATGTACGGTACTTTTATTGAGCTATCTTTTATTTTTTGTAGTTTGTTATGTAAATCAATAATTTCAATTAATAAAAAAAAGAATAGAATATACCCTAAACTAAATAACTTCATTTTCTGGAATCAGTGTGGCCATTAGTGTTACCCACATTTGGAATGGAGTTTTAAAACAGTTTTACCCTTTTTTAACACATATCGTGCTTGTTAGTGTTTTTGTATGAGAAAAAAGAGAGTGAAAGAGGATGATTAATTAATGTTTAATTAATTTTGAGAGCGGGAGATGGAGAGAGAGAGAAGGAGAAATATTATTTATATATAATTTTTGCTTAAATATTCATACATTTCAAGTTGTCTTTTCTATTGTTTTATACTAGGAATAAGTTAACGAACTAAATTAAATAAACTCATTTCACGGAATCAGTATTGCCGTCAGTGTTACCCAAACATGGAACGGAGGGAAAAACCGTGTTACTTTTTTACACATATGTATCCGTTTATGTGCTTTCTTTTTGAAAAGGAAGAAGAAAAAGAATGAGATTTATGATGA